AGCACATGGTATTCCCAAGCGGTCACCCATCTAGGTACTGACCAGGCCCGACGTTTCTTAACTTTTGTGATCGTACAGAAACCAGTGTTTCAACGTGATATGGCCGTAAAACAAGTGTCTCTTTAAATACATCGGAAAAATTGTAAATGCAATATCACTCGCAGAAAAAGAATTATTTTTATAATCCCACAAAGGGTTGATAAGCCGTAAAAAATCCATTAAGAAATTAATTATTTTAATTATCAAGAAATTAATTATTTTAACCATTCTTATTTCCTTACAAGTTCGATGGATAGTGTAAAAACTATCCAAAATTAGCTGATCGACCTCTTTCGCTTAGCTGTCTGGCCATTTTCAAGACTGAAGACCTGAATAGTTGTGGAGAAAACCGTAATTCTAGATGTCAATATCTATTTATCTCTCAACGAGGGCAAATGTGACAAGGTCAGGTTTTATGGAGAGCGCCCACCCGCCGACATGTTTGAAGAGGTAATCGTAGGATTCACAATGTATTGCTCATATAGTTTATTTAAAATAAAAACATTGTAAGGTTACAGTTTCAGTAGATTGTATACAAATTACACCGAAACCCAAACCTTCTTCTTTTTTTAAATTTAATCAACGCACGCAGAATTATAACGGACATTAAATAATTCAACGAATAGCAGGCGAATTGCATAGTTTTGGCAATTAGAGTTAATCAAGAAAAATTGTAATATGAACTTTTGGAACTGAATAGAAAGCTGAGTTTCTAAGTAATTAGAGCCATATATCTGAAAGTATATGATATCGTGGCGATGTCAGATTGAATTTTAACTTGTCAGAAAATAAAACATAACGTCATAGTGTTTATCATAGCAATACTGAAATTCAAATACGAAGGCGGAAAATATTAATAAAACTGCTACGCCCTGAAAGATGATGTCTGTTTTAATCTGGATACAGTCTGCACAAGCTGGTAGATATTCCGATAAAATCCTTTTCAAAATCTTCGGCCGTCTTATAACGTAGTAACACTCACACAAGTGCACCGTCTCTAGCTGAACTTCAGTCAGTTACGCCCATTGCTATAATGATTAGCGTGAGGGAAGAGTCCAGTTCTGTCAGTTGTCATGCTACGAAGACGCGCAAACGCTTAATGCAGGTTTAACCTAATAGAAGATGTAGTAAATGCAGTGTGTTTCACATTTTGAGTGCCTCGTATTAAGTATTTTCAAGTTGTCTGACGGAATCAGCATCTTACGACTGGGCAAGGTTGATATTTACAAGTCGGAGCAGCCGTATGTTTAATTATTCATCATTTCAGCTAACATAATATTATAGTAGGATTAGGTAGTAGTTTCCATATGGAAATATACACTTTCCTTTTCACTAAGAGAATGACAAAGAAAACTTTCTCTCTCTTCTCTTATACACATGCTTCCTTTCCCTCCCTTCTATTGTTCCTATCCTCGGTAACTGACTGAACCCGGACATAGCTTATGTGGGTCAGCGAACGTCATGAAAGATCAACCAACGCCAATACACCCCGCCAAAAATCGAACGGAAAGCACGGATCTGTCAGGCCAGATAAAAAGAAAAAAAACACGTGCATACCAGAAGAAGTGGGAAATTGGTTCGATGTAGCAGTTCGAGATGCAAGGGTTTGGAAATTCATCGGCTGTTTGACTGGACGTACAAATCCAGAAGAAAAAGAAGAAGAAAGGATGAATTCAACAAATTAATTTCTGTCAACCAAAAATACGACGACCCCGTATGAACTCTTAAATCACAAAAAGGACTAAGATGATAGTCATCCACTTTAACAACTGTAACCGCATAGAGTCAATAATAAAAATGGTACTGTAGACAGTAAATTTGGCCTTTACTTATGTATTAGTCCAACATTCATCTCTATATATCATAATATCAAGGCTTTCTTAGCAGCCGACCTTACAATGTATTCAGTATAGTCTTTCCATTTCATATCAGCCAAGAATGTTAGCTCGAAAAGGCGCAACTAGTCACTCTCCTGGAGGTTAGCATGAACCATGCTGATGGAAAGCAGAAAGAGCCTCTCAGATGATTAATAGACAGTAGTTTTGTTTTGGAGACATTAAAATTAAAAAGCCATTCTGTGCCCCAGTTAACAGACTATAGGTCGTTTTTGACACCAGCCACTAATCTGACCTTATTGATCTGATCAGTCTTACTATCGAAACAGGAGGAAATGATTGCGTCATCAGCATAAATACCAAATTGAGAGCTGATCGTTAATAAAAAGTAAAAAAAAAAAAAAAAAAGGTAGGACCAAGGATAGAGCTCTGTGCGGCACCTCTGGTCAAATGAGTGTTAACCCGCACACTATGGCATTCACAAAGGGTAATGTCCATAAAGGAGCAACGGCAAAACGGCTATAATATACTGAAAAATATTCAAAATATGGAGAGATGTAATTATGTGTATGTAAAAATTAACAGCACTTTCGTTCTTGAAAACTAGACATTGTATACATAATAATGACCGTTTTTTTTAATAAAATAAAGAAGAAAGCTGTAAATTTTTGCACGTGGTTAACATTAAACACGCGTTTCTCACTGTCTTTCTTTCCTTATCACTTTTTAAAAACATAGACGAAAACAGATCGTTCCATCATTATGAAGCTTTTTCTCGTTAAATATCCAAGGTAAATTTTGTTAGAATTCAGATATACTTTGTGGCCTTACTGGTCAGGCCCAGAAAAAACATCAGAAATTTTTTATTTGGAAGACTGATGCATCAGAATATTCCAATCTCTAGTCATCCACTTCTATGTTCACCTTGCACTTTACAAAGATATACAGATTATCAGAAACCAGATAAAAACCGAGTACTTTTCCCTAAAATCCAGGCAACAGAACGCTCTTTTTTTTGTATTTAACAGAACGTACACTCGTTCCAAATGCAGTCCAAGGCCTTTTTAACGTCGGCCTCCGAAGGTGAATTGGGATAGCGGAAGATGCCTTTTAAAAGTTAAGAAACAGAAGAATTTCGTTAGAAACAAAGAGTACTGAATTGTTATGTAATATCAGTCCTTCTATATGGCAGTGAATGCTAACCGATGAATAGACTTGAAGTAACAGAAATGTGGTTCTACAGAAGGATGCTGTGAATACCATGGACCGAACATGTGAGCAACGACAAAGTTTTATTGAAAATTTAAAGAAAAAGGACACTTATACTTCATCAGAAAGCGACAGTTGAATTTTCTAGAGCTCATAATGAAGAAAAATAGCGTGGAAGATTTGATACTGACAAAACTGATTGAAGGTAAGATGGATAAAGAAAAACAACACATAACTTACCAAGCGAGCTTGAGTAAATGGATGGCGGAGCAAGGTTTAGGAGAGATGAGAAAAATATTAAGAGCTACAAAGGACATGGAATTGTGGCGAGCCATGATCATCCTGACGGTAAACGGCACATAAATGAAACTGAAGTATCCTAAGCATATGTGGGACAAGAATAATAAAAAAAGGTCCAATAGTGTTTGTTTTTTCCAGCATGCGAGGTTTGCCAACAACGAAACAAAATATTAGACCATTGCCCTAATATCAACCAGTCTAGTAGTTTACCTCTAGAACTATCATTTCAGACGGAAATAAATTCGCATTTGTCGTTATGTCGTGTCAGGCATTGTAGAAATGTTGATAAATGAGACGTTAATTTGTAAGTTTGAGCTGAGCTCTCAAGTGTCTAAGTAGAAATTATTTGATAAAAATTTGGTTTATGGGCTGCAAGCAGGTCCTTATCAAAGTATTTGAATTGACATTAATTTATGTCGATTGCACCTCCACCGGTGAACTTGTCATACACTGTTGGGTGTTGTGACATTGTGATATGTGGCTAGGTATTTGGCAACGGCTGTCATTCCTCAGTAGTGGAATGAATCGGTGGCGTCTCTACGTTAGTTATGACGGACCAATATACTAAAGTAGGCCTGTCTCTGTCCCTTACTGAAAATCAAATTAAATGCCTTTTTATAAAGAGAAATGTTTCTTACCATAGTGTTAAATGCTGATTCTGAATATAAGTATCCTTTTTATTTCCATTTTCCTTAAAACTTCCTCATTATTCACATGTTCACTCCACTGTATTCTCAGTATCCTTCTGTAGAACCATATTCCAGTCGCCTTAAGTCTCTTCATCTGGGAAGAAATTGTCCAGCATTCACTGCCATGTCAGAGTATTGATATTACATAGCAGTTCAGCACTCTGTTTTTGTTTGTTTGTTTCTAACGAAATTTTCCTGTTTCTTAATACTTTGCGTCCTGTGTAAGATGATAAACTACATCCGCTGCCCTGGGTAAGACGATAAACTACATCCGACAGCAAGGCCTCTGATCAGGAGGTTTTGAGCAAAGTGGAACCACCTCTTAATTGCTGATGTTCCAACCCTGACTTGGGGTGGTAGCACCTGTTAGGGCCCCAGCTATGGGCAAATAGTTAACACCCAGACTGAGGTCAAAACATTATGAAAGTATAAAAATAGGTTTTAATACCTGCAATATATTTTTGGGAAAAAATTATTAGCAGCAATAGATTTTTGAAAAAAAGAAAAATTACCAGCAATTCATTTTGGGAAAAAAACTGCCAGCAATAAAAATCTTGTCGGCATTAAGTAACCCATCGTGGTTGATATGCCGTAAAACAAAACAGCACAAACTTAATACTTTGCTTAGGTTTAGAAGGCATCTTTCGCTATTCCAATGTACGTTTGGATTTCTGTGTCACATTTTCCATTCTCTGTTAAAACGCTTCCCAGATATTTACTTGTTTCCCAGTCTGTACTTGTTTGATTTTGCACTCTCCATTTCGTAGCCTGGTGTTTTTCCCTTGCTAACAACACTACATTTTTTTACAGTTGATGATTAGTCCTTTCTTCTTTCATTTACAACCTTGTCCCGAGGGCACTGTAGTTTTGCTACTGTTTCTGCCTTCAATACAAGATCATCTACTTATCATCAAGGCGTGATCCATGTCGAATAGGCTTCCATCGATAAATCTTGATTGATAATGATTCTTGACTTCCAATCAATGCTACTTGACTTATAGTTGAAGAATATAAAGTGATTTGAAACATTGTGAAAA